CTAAGCAGAACTTCTTCCAAAGTCATACGGAAGCATCCAAGAGAAGGAGCCTCAAGTGCCTGGAATGGGAAGTACTGATTAGAAAAAGAAATCCGAAGCTAGGTGAGATTTGGCCATCTTACTAGTAGGTTCCGACAAGTGAAAATCTGTTACTGGCCTTTTTTTTTTAATGCTTTGAGTGAAAGGCTGGATTTCACAATAGAGAGAAGGGGGAAAAGTTTCTAAAGGCAATCCTCTAGGCTGGTATAATGCCGCTGATAAACCAGAATACCAGAGTGCGCTAACATCTTGCCACAGCTCTGTGCAGGAAAGAGGCTTCCACATTCTTTGGGTATTACTGTTATTGTCGTGCCATTGAGTGCTTAGTTTGGAGGTTTTAGGTGCGGGGAATTACTCGAGAGGAGAGATTAATGTCAGAAAATTACATACTGCTGCACAGAGAGGTGCAGCGACCCGAGGAACACAGCCAAGCGAGCAGATAAGAGCCCCAGTGTTGGCAGCTCGTCAGCGAACAATGCGCTGGATTAGCTTTTCTCCCAGTATAAAAAAAAAAATCAACAATCGAGCGCGGCGGCGCAAGGGTGTCGACGGGCTGGGAGGAAGGCTTCATAAAGCTATCAGATGGAGACTGCTGGAATAAGCTAGGATTCAGCAGCACGAGGAGCACAGGCGTGGATTCCAGGGACCACCGTTTCTCGGGGAGCTCCGGAGCCTGGGCACAGGCTGTGGAAGTGGGGCTGGGCCTGTGGAACACACGGCTCCTAATGTCTCGCTCTTCTCATGACGGGCCGCCGGACGGATCCAATGGCTAGGAAGCCAACTGCAAATCAGTACGGGAGGAAGAATTAACAATGTTGTGAGTGAAAAAAGATCGGGCCATGATTCCGCTCGCCGCAATATATACGTAAAATAAGGATAAGATCGCTGTACAAATTGGCTTGCACTTGCCCTGCGATGGACTGGCGCCCTGTCCAGGGTGTAACTCTGCCTTGTGCTCGTTGCTTGCCGGGTAGGTTCCGGCTTCCCGCGACACCGTACGGTATAAAGTGGTTTGGCAAATGACATGACATGATTAAACACATACTGTACGTTTTTTTTTAGTACAAGTTGGTTGTCACGTGCAAACGACCCAATGTCCCACAGCCCATTGTCTTTGAAGGGGTTTCAGCATTTTGCTCACCACTGCACGAACCTTTTGCAGGGGGGGTTTGGGGTGGAGGTGGAGCTCCCAATACGAGAGAGGCCTGGCAGGAGGCGCTGATGTCTGGTGTGCCCAGAGAGCGGTCTGGACAGGCGGGGTCTAAGGAGGAGGGGCCCTGGAGATAGCGAAGGGCGGTGATGACAGACTGTGGGCGGGGGTGGAGAAAGAGCAGAAAAAAGTACGACGAAATTTCGAAATTTCGCTAATTTATTCAGGTTTAAGCGACTTGAGTCTTGCAGATGGTAGCACTCCTGGCTTCACTGGTCTGGCAGCCTGTACTGCCAGGGCTCCCTGTGAACTCAAGGAGTTAAGGAGGCCTTGCCAAGGCTATGGAGCTTCTCCATATCTGCGTGACCGCTTGAATATGTGTATGCCTGCATTATTCATTCATAAGTCCCTAGAGCAGACTCTAAGTTCCATATGTCTTGACAAGCTGTGGTAGTTGGGCTATTTCACAGGCCTGTGTCACTGTAACCGATCCCTTTTCCTTTGTGTGAACTGGCGGATTGAATTTAGGCAGAGGAAGCGTGAGATTTTCGAGCTTACTGCTTGCCTGCGCAGGCCCCCAGTCTCAGGTTGTGGGGGCCTAGGTGTGTGCAGAGACTTCTAAAACTTTCCTTTTCCAGAGGAGTGGTGCCTCACTTTCGCGGGGGCTTAGAGGCATAATCATCGCACAATTAAGATAATTTCAGGACGACAGCTGGTGGGGAGAGAAGTAATTTTCACGCTTCCTAATCGAGTCTGGCTGTCAGATTAAGATAGAGAGTTGATTTGAGGGAAATTGTCTTGGCCAATTCTTTGGAGCGGGCCCAGGTGGCCTCAGGTATTTCCTCACCCGTTCGAGTTGCCCGGGAGGAAATTTGGTTTTGATTTGCCACACTGAAGAGATCATTCGAGTGCCTGGGCTTTCTGTCTGTCTCGGGGGATTTGTCAAATTATTACCAAGCTGCCGCCTGCCGCGTCTCCATTTCAAACTAAGAGGTAACAAGTTTTCTCTCTCTCTCTCTCTCTCCCTCTTCCACGGGAAGCATATCTTTTCTACCTCGCTCTGCTTCTGTGTTCCCAGGAGAGCTGCCATCTGTGCAGAACCACAACCCAATTCTTGTGGCATTAACAACGTCTTGAATCAAAACAAGCTGGTTTCTGGTTTAGGGCACAGCAAAGAAAGCATGTATATTTCTCATCCTCCAGCTGGCAGGGCTGTGCACGTCGGCGGTCGGTGCCAATATACCTCACTCTTCGTGAGCACTTCATCTCCAAGAGCAGTGCGCAGCTCTCAACAGTCCCCGGCACTTCCACTGTCCCTGACCTTCTTCAGTGCACACGAGGGGGAAAGGCACAGGGCTTTAGGGGCCATAGTCCTCCAGGTTTCATTGTTATCTTTTAATTAGCAGCTCATTAAGATGTGGGCAAAATAGTTATCTGAAGCAATTAAGCAAATAATTAGAGCAATTAAGTTGGTGAGGTGAAAAGAGAGGTGCACTTATTTTCAAGTGTTTTGCTTTTGCTTCTGTAGGATTGGCCTGCTCATCCTTAATTGGCCCGGCTGTTTACCACTGACTGGAAGCTTTTCCAGCACAGGTCTCATTATCGGGGGGGGGGCTCCTCATCCTTCCTAATCTGTTCTAGGGCAGACCCTTAAAAGCACTTCTCACTGTGTGAATGCAACATGTTAGGTGATTTTTAAAGCATTTTAAATCGAAAAAACAAATACTCTTTTGATTGCCTATTTTGATCTTCCAGCCAAACTTTTTTGTTCTATAAAGGTCAGTGAACAAAAGTGCAAAGAAGGATTTGCTGGCTTGAAAACAAACAGCAGGCAGCAATTTTAAATAACAGCAGCAGCACGTCAGGTGAAGTTCTGGGAGCTGTGAAAATACAGCATTGGCAAAGAGTAGATTTGCATTGAATCACACAGAAAGCAGACATATGGCATTCCACAAAGGGAAACTACGGTGAAGTCTAAAATGTACACATAGGGTTGTGGGTGAGTGGAACAAGCTACATTGCTGTACTGTTGGATCTGATACCTAGGCCCTTTATATGAAATAGCTAGATGAGAGTGATTAGGTATTAGCAACCAAAAAATACCCCCATTTGCCCTTGTCAGCTGATGATGTCCTTGTACTCGACTATACTCACGTGAATGAAGAAAATAAAGAAACACTACAAAGAAACAAATGTGTACTAAACATATAATTGGCAACAAAAGATGACCTTGAAACAGTTCTTCTTGCTTGTTCTATATTTCAAGATCACCTGTATTTAATAAAAGTGTTTCACACGTTTGTACAGTATTCCTATCTTTGCAAATACTTTTCTTTCACCCTCATTCTGTCTTTTTTTATTACTCTTCCGAGCTTCCCAGTTTCTTTTTTCACACAAAGCTCCACATGGAGTGAAAATAGGCTTGAAATGTTTACGGCAATTTGAGATTTTATTAAGATGCAAACTATTTTGTATATTGTCATCACATTGGCTGCTTGTCAGGAGTTACTCTTTTCAACAATGATTCCTTGTATCTTTCACCCCATAGGATCCCAAAGTACTTTTCATGTAGGAAGAACCCACTTCATCCACCACTGACCTGCAGCTGCAACTGGTGATGTGTAGCAGCCATTATTCACTGGCTGCACAGTGGAAAAGTGGAAAAGTAAGAAATTGCTTCACCAGTTGAATGAAGAGGGGATCTCGGAGAGGGTACATTGTGCAATCCCACGGCGGAATTTAACCAGGGCAGCAGCATTAACAGTTCTGCTCTTTTGAACCGTGCATTTACATCCATGGGAGTGGCGTGGAGATGGTGGACTCGTACAAGTACCTGGGAGTGCACATCGACGATAGACTGAAATGGTCTAAGAACATCGTGGCCATCTATAAGAAGGGACAGAGCCGACTTTACTTCTTGAGGAGGCTCAGGTCCTTCAATGTACAGTATGTAGTGAGATGCTACATATGTTCTATCAGTCGGTGGTAGCGAGCGCCATTTTCTACGCAGTGGTATGCTGGGGCCCTGGGATTAGAGCAGTGGATTCTAAAAGGCTGAACAAGCTCATCAGGAGAGCAAGCTCTGTCATTGGGTCTGACCTGGACCCCTTGGAGGTAGTGGCTGAGAAGAGAATGGTGTCCAAACTAGAGGCCATCATGGACAACATCTCCCATCCCCTCTATGACAGGCTTGTAGAAATGAAGAGCACATTCAGCAGTAGGCTGATCCATCCACAGTGCGACAGGGAGCACTACAGGAGGTCATTCTTGCCTTCTTCCATAAGACTGTACAATGGATCCACCTTGCGTCTGGGCAGAGGCAACATTGACAGTGACCTGTTTCTGGACTGAACGCATCTACACATCTATTGCTACATCTGTTCTCTTTCTTTTTCCCGTTTGCAACCGTTTTTTTGTGCAATACTGTATATGCCAGGAACCTGTGCAATACATTTATATTTATATCTATATCTATATTTACATCTATATTCATATGTGACACGATTTTTCTGTGTACTGTTCTGTTCTAGTTTGTTCTTTGTGTGTCCGGACTGTGGGTAACTCTTTTAGTGCACCCCTCACTGTACTGATTGTATTGTATGTATTGTACTATTATTGTTATTGTATCATTTGTTACACTGTGGCTGTGTTGTCTGTGTAAAGTTACTGTTGCACTGCAATTTCCCTCACGGGATCAATAAAGTATCTATCTATCTATTTGTGAAATTTGACCAAGCGCCTCAACTCCATAATCAGGACTTTGATTGCATTCTTCCTCTGAAGAACAGCATATAGAAAGAGAGCGATATAGGCCTGGATAGGTCAGTTGGTAGAGCATCAGATTTTTAATCTGAGGGTGCAGGGTTCAAGTCCCTGTTTGAGCAGCTGAGACCTTTTAAGGGGTGGCTCTGTGGCTAACGATCCGCACCTGTGGCTGGAAGGTTGCTAGTTCAAATCCTGCAGCTGGCAGAGGAATCCTACTCTGTTTGGCCCCTGAGCCCCTGAGAAGATTAACCCCATCTGCTCCAGGGGTGCTGTACAATGGCTGATCCTATGCTCTGACCCTGGGCTTCTCTCTCCCTATCTGTTTGTCTCCTGGAGAGCAAGCTGGGTAGGCAAAAAGAGGAATTTGTGATGCAAGAAATTGTATAAAAAAAGTGATCTTATCTTATCTACACACAGTGTCGTCTGCCACCATACCAAGGTATTGGCTTGGAAGAGTGCCACCTACTGGTTATGCAACACTACTACTTTGGTGATCTGCCACAGGAGTACTGACCATGCCCAGGACTGCATAGCTTCTGAGGTCTAGACAGGTAAAGCTGAGGAGAGCTTTTCTCTGATCTTGCCCCCATGTTGAGTGTAACACATACCCACACTAAAACACATATTTCATCCCTAGCCTGGTACAAACCACTGGAAAACCTTCTCTCTTCACTAAATGTTTTTGGACAGGCCCACTATATATGTGATTACATATACCTATATATAACATGACCTCTAAATCTAATTTCTTACAGCTGTGATAGTCTTTTTATTTTCTCTTTGAGTATGATGTTATGTACATCTATTTCCTGTTTAATTGATGATGAGATGAATTGGACACATTAATGTACATGTTTTACATTAGAACTTCGTTGGGATCTTTCATCTCTGAAAGACAAGAACAGATGTGTCTTATACAGGAACTGTATTTGTGTGTGAAATCATCACTTGTCTGTCTGTCTCTGAGAATTGGATATCAGGTAAGGACATAAGAATGTTTAGAAACAAAAGGGGACAGTTTTACTCAGCTAGCCTTTTTACTAGTTAGTAGCTTATAGATCCCAGGATCACTTCCAGCCTCATCTTGAAAGTAGCCATGGTGTCAGCTTCAACAACATGTCTGAATAGCTTGTCTGAATAGTGTGAGCCACTCTCGTACTTCTTTGTGTAAAGAAGTGCCTCTTCTGGGTTTTTCACACGTTCCATGTTGTTTCCACTTGTGTCCCCTGATTTGTGTTTCACTGTTGATTCTGAAGAAGCCCATCGGCTTGACTTTGTCAGTGCCTTTGAGGATTCTGATTACTTGTTTCAAGTTCCCTCATAGTCTCCTATGTGTTCGGACCTAAAAAAGTTCAGTTCCTTCAGCCCATCCATGTGGGGTATTCCCATAAATCCCAAAATGAATCTGCTTCCTTTTCTCTGGACTGATGGGAATCAGTAACATTTCCTGTAACATGGTGTCTAAAATAGTAAATAAGATTCTTAAGAATAACTTATTAGTGTGCAATACAATTTTTCACATAACAATGAATTCTAAATTTTTGACTATATAGTCTTAAATATTGTATATTTTTTTACTGCTAACATTTTATTTTTCATTGCTTCTAGCTCAAGGTTGACCATTTCGTAATTAGAATTGTATGCAAAACCCTGCACTTGTCTACATAAAACGTCATCTGCTATCTGTAAAAACGAGTAGTTTACCAATTGTAGTTCAAGGAGGTAGCTGCGTCAGCATGAGTAGACTGCAATGGAACAAGTAAAGATTTATTCCATACTGAAAAGAGAAGAAAAGAAACACAACGTTTCGGCTGTGGAGCCTTCTTCGTGTCAATCCTTGTAGTTTTCTAATTTCACCAGAATCTAGATCAATGATAAAAATTAAGAAGGGCAGTGGTCCTGGTACAGGGCTGAAAAACAAAATACATAAAAGCCACTACACCTTTATTTAAAAAGAAGGGAAATATATAAACGTATTTACTTTTCATTTAAAATATAATAGAGAACAGTTTGTTCCTTTACTATGTCAAAGTGTATAGATATTTCTTTCCACGTGAGTATGAAAACGGTCTCTCTGTGTTTTAATTCATCCTGGTCATGATTTAATTGAAATAACAACAGCAACAACAAATCGTGAGAATGTAATTGAATATAATATCACCAATAGTCGGTTACACTGTAAGTTACAGTAAACGCAGACGGCTGATTTCGACTGGAGGAAACCCGTATTCTATATTTTTAATAACGGCCGCAATCCACTAGGTGGCAGTATTCGCCTTCAGCATTAATTTAAAGGTCTCTTTCCTTCTTTTCCAGCTCGCGTTCTTTGTCGAATGCAACTGTAAGCCGTGCATCAGATGAAACCCATCCTAGGAAATAGAGTTTGCTGAGGATATGAAGGTAATTGAGTATTGTAAGAGGAAGAACAAGGAAGTAAATCTTGCTGTTATTCTTAAAACAATTAAATCATAAAATAACGAGAATGTTAGTAACTAAAACCATAAAAAATCCCGTAAAACGTTTATGTTTTGTTTTCAAAGAGTTTACATATACTGTGTCACAGTTGCAAAACAGTATGCAGTCTTTTCATCATCAAATGTTCTGGGCATATTTTAGTTGTTGTTGTTATTGTTGGATTGTTTTCATTGGCTTTAAAAGGAAAAGCCTTTTATGTGAGTTAGGGCTCCTGGAGAGCAAGGCTTGTTTTAAACAAAAAACGGTTCATTTCAACAGGTCTCAAGCCAACTCTCCTTCTCATTCCAGTATCCCCTTTGATTAATGCAGCTATCTGAAACAAACTTCAAACTTTAAAAAAAATCTATGTTAAAGAACCACGAGTTTCTAAAAATATATATAACAAATAAGCTGTCAGTACGTGTGGTTGAGTGGTGACGTTTTGAAATCACTAGTATTTGGGGCTCCTTGACCCCTTTAGTACTATAAACAAAGTAATGTAGATTGTAATGGGGCTTTAAAAAAGTTAGATTGTTTCATGGCCAGAGGAGGGTTTGTAGTCGACAGATCTTTTTATTGTTTTCCGTGATTGTACAAAACTGGTTCACCCAGGCTGGGATTCGGGCTGAAGGCTGATGTTGCAAATTGTGTTACATTGATTGTGTTACATACATTCCTTAAAATCGCACATGGTTTTATTTGTACAATTATAGTGTTGTAAGAAGACACACAGGACCCCTCCCCAAACACAACAGAGACTAAATGAAAGCCTTGTGCATGAACATTCAGGTTATAAGTGAGATGAGACCCCTTGACCACATAGATTGACTAACAATGGACCAAAAGACAGATGTGTTTCTATTGGATTCTTTGATGGGATGACAGTTAGAGCTGTGGTATAGAATTGTGAAAACAAGCCTTTGTGAATCATAATGCACTCTACCCTGTTACACTTTTCATTGGCTGAATGTGCATTTCAGATATGCAAATACAAGATTTATTTTAGTGTCTTTGCTTGTTAAAAACAAGAAATTATGGTGTAAGCTGAAAGTAAGGTGTAGAATAAGGCAGAACGCAAGGGCAAGCAAAAAGCAACAGGTAGGAAATTAAAGAATTGGGAAAAGAAAAGCATGCTAGCTACCTCTTTCAATAGAAAAGCAGAATTATTTCACATTGAGCTGCAAACATGCCCACTGCTATAATAATGCTGACTTCTACAATACACCCACTTGCTCTATGACATACACTGAATTGCACACGCAGATCTTTGTCTAAATGCTTGCCAAAATCACGTTTCTTCTTATTTTTTAGTCCTAACCAATGGAATCATGAAGCCAGTTTTGAAAACTAGTCATGGGTATAACGTCTTAAAAGAAAATGTGACACTGGTATTTTAATTCAAGACGGAGGCAGCTGACCTTTTTTTTTTCCATTATGAAGCTTAAGTCCCAGGTTGAATGGATGAGTCACTCAAAACAGTACATTTATATATAAACGCACACAAAGAAGCGTGACATTCAGTCTGTTTCTGAGGTGCTAATCACAGGCCGAGCTCCATTGACGCTCTGGTGCTTTTTTGATATTTACAGAGGTGTGAAACAATGATAAGAATGAACACGTTCAAACATGTGGCCATGAGGATTGCATTTTTATTGCGGGGCTTGATGGCTTTTTGATGTTCAGGCTCGCCCTGCCAAATCAGACAGCAACATCAGAGCTTGCACAAAGATCATCGTCTTGCCTGCCTGATGTGTCACTGAATCCTGGTCTTTTCTTGGCTTGCTGGACTAGTTCTCCTTGAAAGTTTTGGGGCTGACTCGCAGGAGACCAAGGTTACCAATTCCTAAGGGGTTGTAAGTGGGTAGGTGCATTCAGAGAATCACATAAGGATCTCTCTCTGCGGAGCTCTGCCAGTAAGGTTTGCAGACCATGGTGTTAGTTGATGATGACTAGGGAGGCAGCAGAAAAGTATATCAAATCAAAATCATCCTCAGGGCTTTTAGATGATTGTGGGGCGTTTTTTCAGCAATCCTGCCTCTTTTTCCCCCCTGGGACTCTTCAATCCCAACTCATTCTGAACCCTAGAATGTAACCTTCAGAATCCGCTCTTGGACAGGGGAGGGTTTGCAGTCAATATTATTGTGTCATGATGTTCTCAGTGAGGGTACAAAAGGACAGACTGTGGCTGGAGTTTGGGCTGATGGCTGATTTGCATTTGTTGCAGTTTGTGTGCTACATGGGCTGGCTGGAATGGTTCTGTATGTCCTCTCACAGAAGTACATCACTTGTAGGCTAACTGTGTATGGTGACCTTCCTCCCCAGTGGAAATGTGTGTTGAAGCAATTGATCCTCGAGTAGAATATCAGAGGTTAAGGTAAGAATTAGAACAATTGCTTTATTAAGAAAGACCACGTCCCCATGAAACCATGCCATACCCGAAGTACTGATTCATCTGCACTTGTGGAGGGCAAAACAATTTATTCTGGCATCTAAACAAAACCCATTTGAAATCCTGTGCTTTTCAGGTGAAATGTAATTATAAGAAGGGCTGACATGTTTTGTGTTGTAGAGCAACTCTGTTTTTGATGTTTTACCTCATGGCTTCCAGGGAAATGTTTCTGGAAGCTCTGACAATCTCTCCTGTCTTTACTTGTGTGATGACCTA